CCTTTTTTGCAGTGGTGTGAACACAAATGGTTCAGCAACTGCATGTTGGGCGTTAATTAGTGCTGTACTGATGAGCTCAGAGAGGAGTTGAGACGTTACGATGAATCCCACTTAAAAATACTCTTTAAAATGCATGTTACAACAATTGTTGTTGTTTTTCTTTTTTACTTTCATGGGGAAGGCCAGAACGGGTTACAGTGGAACTTACAAACTCACCATTTGTCTTTTTCTTTTTTCCTTCCCACAATTAACCTTTTTCCATTTTTATTTTTGGGTAGCCAACTGGAGGCTTATCCCCGTTTCAAGATGATTTCAGAGAGAGCCGTGATTTGAGTTGCGAGCATGGTCGGGGTTTAAATTAGATTTGTATCACAAGGCATCTCTGTGTCGTAAGTTGCAAATTGCTGGCGTTGGGTGGAATCTTCATATTTCCAAAACCATCACTTTTCAGGGAAAAAAAATAATCGCAGAAAGCAAGTCATTTTCAACCCTTTACATCCGTCAGTAATTTGAAAAATAACAGACCCGATTGGGTACTGACCAATTGTATTAATTTGTGAAAAAATATGACATTGAAAATTTGGACCACGGAGGTTTTTGGCTTTACGTCAGTGATTGTAAAATATGCTATATCAATGACAAAAAAAGAAAAAAAAAGTGTTGTTACCCTTCTTGTTAGAGTCTTTGTTGGAAATGTTATTGAGAAGGGAAGGCGTTGAGGATATGCTATTTTGCCTTCTGGTCAGATCATCTGCGCACGTACCGACACGCACACACATGCTGTCATGTCACGTCAAGGCGCTGCCACGAAATGACGGTGTTCCAATGTGACACATGCCAAATAGAAAATGTTGCCCTCTGTTGCAAAATCAAGCGTCACGGCTCAAGGAATTCAATCTGTTTCTCTCTATTCACTGCAAGGGCACTCGGGCAAAAGTGAGCACACTGAGAACTAGAACATTTGATTTGGCTTTTGTTTTTGTTTCGTCTCGCGGTACATTCTGACCTCTTGACTGTCTGTGGTCCTCAGCCGCCAGCGTTCAGTCCTTCAGAAGACTTTATTCGAGTCGCACATTTGCCTCCGAGGAGCAGTATCAAAATCAGGGATGCTCCAATGAGTTGTAAGAGGAAAAGTAGAATCCATGCCGTTGCCACGCCAACCCCAAATTTCCTACTTTTCTGGTTTGTTCATATTTGTGGACTAGCCGTGCTTGCGCTTTTTTTTTTTTAAGAGCACAGACGTGTTTTCTTCCTTTGTCATGCATACAAGTACAGTGATGCAAGGCAGCAGAGGAGCTGATCATGTTTTGTGAGCACTCAGCTTAGCATTCAACAACAATCTAACTTAGTTTTGGTGTGGTGAGTCAAGACAATGGGCTGTCCACTCCCAAGTAGCTCCTAAGTCGTGCAATTCTTTTTGCAAAGGGGACACATGAGAAACTGGAATGTGTGCAGAGGGCCAAGACAACAAGCTAACCTCATCTTTGTCGATACTATTTCAAATGTTGTTAGAAAAAGCATATTGTCATTTCAAAAACAAACAAACCAAAAAAAAAAAAAAAACGCTACGTGTGTCGATATGGTTTTCGTTGTTGTCATTCGGCAATTTTAAATGAAAATCATACGCCGTCATGAAAACGACATCTTTATACTTGAAGAAATTAATCTTGTGCAACAACTTCCTCATCGCGACTCCCAACTATATAGATCTGGGGTCCCCAATCCCCGGGCCGCGGACCGGTCACGGTCCGTGGGTCATTTAGTACCCGGCCGCACAGAAAGAATAAATAACTTACATTACTTCCTTTTTATTTATTTTGGAATCTGAAAGAAGATTTTGTTTTGAAAAATAAACTGGATGATAGGAAAGTAGTCCTTTTTATATTTTCTGGTGCATTTTGGGGAAGGGGGGGAATCAAATGATCTATAAGCCATTTATTTTGAAGGGTCATGTTGTGAGATGAGTTTGAAGTTCCGTTCACATCATTGATTTGTTTCATTCTATTCCTTTGACTCGAAATCATATTTAAAGACAGTCCGTTAGCGCTGAAGCACATCATAATATCCTGAAACTCATTCTATACAACTTGTAGTAGGTTATTTAAATTTTTCCCAGCATAAAATAAAATGTTACCAGCCGGAAAAAAAAACCCAAAAACGTTTTAGGCAAATTACAAACAATGACAGTAATGTTCACGGAACATGTTGATGCGATTAAACATAATTATAGGTCATTATAATTTTAGAGAGGAGTCAATTACCATACTCGTGAATCAGGGGTGAGTGATTTCCCTATTCCGGGTGAGTAGCTCACTGTACAAACACGGTGAACATCTTCCGGATGGACCGAATGGATGTGTGTCATCGTGTTGGAGGTCAACACGCACATACTCAGCTATGTCCTGAAAGGCAGTGTGTGTGTACTGATTGGAAGATAAACGGAGCACTTTCTTGTCCCTGTTCCTGTCAAACACATCAGGGAAGAGGATTTGTGTACATTATTGTCTGTGGCCGATGTCCTAATCCTCTGGCCTGGATAATGGAATTGAGCGATGCCGATAACCAAACAAAAAGCCCGGGACCTCTGCCAAGGCTTAACTGTCAACAAAACTGCAATAATCATCTCTGGATCCACCCCAAATTGGTGGCATGGCTTTCTCTTTGGCTTTTTTAAAAAAAAAATTTTTATTTTTAATGATGACATCGCACAAGGGAACAATTAGTGAGAAAAATTAAACATGAAATGGAAAACAGGAATGAAAAGTGTCAAATATTAGTCCGGCGAGGGAGGGGTTGTACATTTTTACCATATTGTGGTTCACTTTTTTTCCCCCTTTTTTAAAAATCTGTATAACGGAGCCTAATGTTGTGGCCAAGCCTTATTTTATTGCGTCAAGGTTGTGGAAATGCTACGGGAAACCCTTCACGTCTGTGTTGACTCATTAGCAGCTCATTTGCACTTGAGTGTAATCCAAGGCCTCTAGTTTTACTAATTCGTATTTACGGAGACACGCATTGATTCCCGGGAGCGTGTTGACTCGTTCAGGTCACTCCTAAACCAATTAAAGAGTTGTGCCCTGCGGCCCCCAGCATGCTTCCTTCCACTCATTTGCTAATAAATATCTTGTTGTAATATTGATTTCTCTGCGGCGCCTATCTGTTTAGTTCCCTGCTTTCTTAGGCCCTTTCCACATAGAAACAGAGGAAAAATTCTCATCAACACGGACGTTATGTAGTTTGTAATATGTAGGCCTGTGCAGCACCGTCACGCTGCCGCTGTCATTTTAGGAAACACAATGGCATCGTTTCTGAAACTGTAAAAATGTCCAAATCGGGCCCAAATTTTCTATGTCACAAGCTGTAACCAGGAAGCTGCACATGAACAAACTGACACAATCCTTGTAACTGTGATTGTGTTTGAAAGAATACAGGTGTAGTTATATGCAAAGTGCGTGTCTAAACAAGGTCCGACATTAATGGTGGCCTGCCGGCCAGGGCCACCTGAAGTTTACAGATGCTCGGTATAAATATCATAAATAAATGTTTATTCTTTCTTTTAATATCTAGCATTTAACTTTTTAATCCACTTAAATTGATCAACCATCTTTCTTTGCATTTTTAAGGCCGCTGCACACATTCAACTGTCCCCATTCACTTGACACCTTGTGCGCTACATACTTGCAGTGTGCATTTTGGTCACTGGGTGTGTGGGTAACCGGTGCTGGGTGTCGATGGCCTCTCATCCTAAGTCAGTTCTAATAGTCTGTCTGCTGTACATTTTTAAATAAAGTTAAAACGAACATACGCCTGAAAGAGAACAGGACAACCCAGCGATGTCATTTCTGAGCTCAGACTCCACACACAGTCACACACACATGCACAATGAGGATACGACACACGACATCTTGCATTGTCTCGTAGCTGGCGGCGTCGTGCGCATGAATCACAAAATCACAACGCCTTCCTTCCTTCACTCGTCTGTCTCGCCGTGCCTCAGTTAGCCGCCCGGCTTGCCGCTGTACCCCACGTGCGGCCGTCATAACTATTTCACCGAGCTCGTTCACAGCCCAAAGTCTAATTACTCCCGATAGGTTGATAAACCAGCAGTGAAAGCTGCGGAGAGCGCCTTTCGCAAGGTGCTCCCACACTCGACATGAAAACATCAAATGTCCATGTGGGAGAGTACCAGCATGACAACACCTTCAACTGTCAGCTAATTGGTGATGTCGGTAACACGATTTGGTGATAGTGGCATCATCAAACATCTTCCTGTTTCCTGATGGGTAAATCAAATTGAAGTGACAGCACTGCGCATTCCTGATGATCTAATTTCCCTTGTTTAAAAGGAAACACGTGGACTGCACTTCGTAAAACTCATTCACTGCCATTGACGAGTGTACTTGTCAATTGTGATTTTTCAATGGGGATGGCTTGGGGTGGGGGGTGGGGGTCATCTGATGCTATTCCTCTGTAAATTTCCAACATGGAAACAGCTTCACTGATACACAACCGCTAGTAAATGGCATTGATGTCCCGTTTTAGACATCACATCGGCACAGTTTGTGAGTCCACTTGGGAGAAACCGCTGCATTTTGTGCAACCTATTTTGTTTCTACTGCTGAATTTAAAAGAACAGAAAAAGATAGATCAGACATTTTTTTTTCTCTTGGAAGGAGAGTCCAGTCTTTCATTAGGGAGTTTGGTGTATATATAATGATTGATCTACAACAGGGGTGCCCAATACGTCGATCACGATCAATTGGTAGTTCGCGGACTGGTCCCACGTCGATCGCGAAAGTATAGAGGGGGAAAAAAAAAAACCCAAACCAAAACAGTTGTGTGTCTGTGTGCGTGTAATTGATGCTATATTTTTGTTTTAGTGCATACTGCGCCCCTAGCATCCTATCATTCCCACTTTCACAAAAAGTATTTAAAAAAAAAAAAAAAAGTAAAAAAGCGGGTCATCTTTAACCTGCGGTGGCACGTGACCTGCATCACCAGAAGTTGTGAGTTGCAATCGCAGTTTGCGATCAGAGATGTTGCGCTCTTTTATTGTTATTCTTGTTCTCATTTAGAGTTTGTTTCATGGACAATTCACAGAGGATACGGACAAAGAATGGAAATCATGGAGTGCCGGGAGAAGCAATTTCAAATGGTACACGTGAGCTACGACCGTGAACACGCTGCAAAAAGTGCCGTCCCATGCCTCCGCGTCAGGTCTCTACTAAGGTAGGCAGTGATTTGCTTTTCAGGTTGGTTGATCGAGAAAAAAGGTCAAAAAAGGTTGGCCACTCCTGATCTTCAACATCCTTTGTGTGTTGAATATGTTGTGGAAAAAAAATGCTGTCAGTGAATGAGATTTATTTGAAAAGGATGTAAGAAATAAATACAGAAATACAATTCTACAGGTACACCAACAAATATAGTACAGAAGCGTAGCGAGTCAACTCAAGATGGTTTCACTTGATTTTATCCTTTCACAGTTGAGTGTTGTGGGTCAAGAATTCGATTTATTTTAGCTTTTTTTTAATGAATCCGGAAAGTATCTCCGATCACACATGAGCTGTGGAAGGCAGCAAAAGCAATAGCAGAGTGAATTTTCCTTGTGGCCATCCATGTGCTAGCAAGTCACATTTGCTTGCGTAAAAACTGTCAAACATCTCAAGCCAAAAGCATCCGTGTCCGCCCGAGGACGCGGAGGAGCACGAGCAGCTTGTCAGCGTGAGTCCAGAATGTTGATTGTGTGATGATTTGAAGTTACCCCCCCCCTCGAAAAAAGGAGGGGTGGGGGGACGATGACGTTTTGCAGCATTTACAGTACCCTAAGAATTTCATAATTAAATTAATGGGTGTGAATGAGATGTCAAAAGATGAAACTGTTACAGGTGAGTCAGCCAACGTTCTTTGTGTTTGCGTTTTCTGGAATGGTTTTGTTCTCCGGGTGTGGCTGACGCACGTTGGTTTGGCCGAGTTAACGTTTGAATCAAGTTCCAAAGCAAGACATATTTCATCGGACATGTGTCTACATAAATATTGTAGATGCTCTAACAGCGTTTGAGATTAGAAAACAAAAGTTCGGGGCTTTTCTATTTAAAATATCAGAACACATCTCGTCAACATGACTGATTTAGAACAAGATGAAGATGTTCGTTGGCGTTGGGTCGAAAGCTCTCATGCAACAATTTGGTAAATGTCATATATATATATATTTTTTCAATAATCTATACTATGATTCAGTGCACGTGTGGGTGGACTGGGAGCTAGCGTAAAGCATTCGGGACTGCCGAGATGTGTTCTGATCTCTAGGCTACGTAAACAACCATTGCCTCCTCAAGATGAACCAGTTTTGCAATCCGCTTAAAATGTTAACGTTGGCAATACTTTTTGGCGGCTGTACTCCATGTGTGACAAATGCTGTAATTACTCCCTGGGTACAGACACACACACACACGCACATATAGAAATGCACAATATACATGCAATCAAACGTGAACATTTATGGAATAGCAGTGCAATCGTGATTTTTTTTTGGGGGGGGAGTGGGGGGGCGTAACTGGGGTGGATGTTCAGGACTGTATGTCCAATGCACATTTGCAGATTGCAGTATTCTCCCACATTCCAAAAACATGCATGGCAGGTTGATGGAACACTCTAAATTGTTCACAGGTGTGAGCGTGGATTAAAAAAAGTGGATGGATGGATGTCAGAACCGTATCTGCGTCTTTACGCTTGTGGATTCCACCTCTCTCCAGATTATTCTGGAGCTCTGACACCAGCAGAGTCCATTTAATCCCCCCCCTCCCCCCCCCAAAATCTACATTTCAAAATGGGTCAATTTTTACCCGCCACATAACATGAACGCCAAGGACACATTTCAGTTTACAACAACAACAACAAAATGGTGGTCAAATTTCACATATGTTGGTTGTGTAGACACCCCCGAGATGCAAATGCACGCATTTAAGCAATCAAAATGTCACTTTGCCAGAAAATGTCACCTGTTCATTTTGCCCATCCAAAAATTAAAACTCAAGACAGGATGAATGGAAAGTGCCCCTGCAGGAAGTGGAAGATGTTTATTATGCACCTAACAAGTTGGTTTTTATTTCCTCCACTACTATCTTTTTTTTTTTCCTCTCTCTCTGCTGTCCACACTTTGGCTTTGATCCCGCCCAACAATCTGCTCAACCTGCTTGCGTAGAGGCCTTTCCTGCCCTCTGGGTTTCAACTCCAAGGTTATTACCGTCATGCTCAAGTGCATTAGTAATAAACTCGTCTGAGCCCCCGGACCCCCCCCCCCCAAAAAAAACACTCACAACACAGGGACCACGGAGCGTCATGCTATCTTGGTCCTAGCACCCGATCTCACGCTGTGATGGAGCACTCCTCCATGTTGTCTCGGGTGTGAGCCCACACTCCACAAAAAAATAAAAAATAAAAAATACATGACAGTTTCTTTTTTTAAGATGAATGTGTGTGATCTCACCCAACAAAATTGCTTCCCCCCCTCACACCCCCATTTGTTATATGAAATGGAAATGGGAGTCTTGGAGGGTGGGGGGGTGGGGTGAAGGTAATCCCTGTGAGCGGATGGTGACTAATTAAAGCTGCCACATGAATTGCATCTTTACCTTTCGACATGCTTGTCATGGGGATGAAACGTTTACGCTGTGACTTATGTCATCATGTTAAATGAGATTTTAAGTAGGACAGGGTGATGCCGCCAGGAGCATTTATTTATTTATTTATTTATTTATTTGTCACATTTTGTCATGGGGGGAAAAGGCAAGACAAAAAAAATCAAAATAGAAAACAAGCCAAACAAAAAACACACTTGGATATCTTATTATTCACATGACTGTCCCCCGCCCTTTACTTGAGTTTTCTGAGCAAGTGCCAAAATTATAATCTGTATTATTGGCGTTTGTAAGCGTGCCGCTAACTTTACAGAAGCCAAGTGTGCTGTTCATTGTAAAGTAATGAGCCTATTTTTGACAAAGAATAAGAATAAGAAAACCTTTATTCGTCTCACAATGGAGAAATTCCTAATTTATAGCAGCAAAGTTATGAAAGGAAGAAAGTAGAAGAACAAAGAGTATAGGAGCTGCGGTAAAGGCAGCCACTCTCACGGGGCCTTCTTGAACTCATAATAAAAGTACATTTAAAAAAAAAAAATGTAAGGTGAAGAAAGCACAGATCTGTTTTAAAGACAGGGAGGAAAAAAATAAACAGTCGACAGGAAATCTTTTCCCGTTAGAAGTATCCTTTGACAAAATGACAACTTTGGATCACCTTCCCTGCCTTCCTTTCCCACATTTGTTTGTTCTCACTGACGGATCATCTGAGCTCTCTGCCACATGCCGTCTCGGAGCGCCGCTTTCGACTTTGTCTTTTCATCTATCGGTGTCACATGGTGATGCCTGATTCTATGCCCCAGGGGTTTTTTTTTGAGAGCATTTTATTATGTTCATTCACCAGGGAGTGATTCATACGTGCTACCAGATGTTAAATCCACCGTAACTCGAGTTTATGGAATTGTGAAACGGCATCAGTGTCACAATGACATGAAGTGATTCTTATGATGACACCAAAGGCACCGACATTGACTCTAAGGAATATTTCCATCGCATTCTAAATTGTTTAGATGCACCTGTAATTTCAAATGCGACTAAAGCAAGTTGAGCTAAACCATGAAGAATGGGACAATCCACGTCCTCAAACATCAATCAAGTGTAAATATCAAATGCCAAAGTATTTTGGAGCGTGTGTACGCCAGGGTGTGATATTTAGGTCTTCAGCCCTTCAGAGAATCCCGTTGCACTTTTTTGGGGCGGACAATCCAATCTTATATTTTCTCAAAAGGGTTTATGGAACGTATTCATTTACAATGGATTTTAAAATGGGATGTCTTTTTTTTTTTAATCATTTTCTGTGCCTACTTTCCCCCTGAGGATAGAACAGAGCCTTAGTCCATGCAACTGAACTCAACTGTACTTGTAGAGCACTTTAAAACAAACACCGCTGCATACATGCTGTACGTGCAGCAAAAATAATTCATACAACAACAAACAATCAAACTACATGAACAACAAAGACGGTAGAAAGCACAAAGAAACTGTCAAACTAAAAACCAAGCCTCATGCTGAGTCAAAAGCCAAAGAATAGAACTGAGTATTAAGACGAGTCGGCATGTGAAAAGGAATCCGCGCCAGTGGTTTGCCACACAAATGCTGCTTGACAAGATGTACAGCTTAACATTTTTTGAGCCCCAAAATAATGTGAGAAACAAAATGGATATGTAAATTCTTGTGTGCGTGTGTGTGTGTGTGTGTGTGTGTGTGTGTGTGTGTGTGTGTGTCGGGGCGTTGAAAACAGTGAGTCACAATCTGTCAACGGGATGCGACTGAGCTCTCAGTGCATTCCTCAGCCTGATGACCTACTTGCGCAAATGTTATTTTCCAAGAAGACAAAGGGGGGGTACTTTTATCTCATTGTCATTCCAGGCACAGCACGTCAGAAACACTGATTGTTCCAAAGACGCTGTTTGACTATTTTATGATCATTTTGCGTGTCTCTGTGTCACTGCTTTTATATCTGTGTGTGTGCGTGTGTGTGTGCGTGTGTGCGCGCGCACCCAACACTGCAAATATTTCCCCCAAAATATGCTGTATGAATGAAATGAGATTACAAAAAAATAATTGCCACATGCAATTTCCTGCTGTTCCAAGTGAGAATATGATGAGGTGTGAAGATACGGCATATGCTTGTCCATGTCTGAGCTACATATGCGTAAGTGTTTTTGTGTGGGTTTTTTGTTTGGTTTTGTTTTTTTTTTTTTTTTTTTTTGTACACGCCTTCTTTTTTTTAATTTTTATTTTTGGTATGTGTGCCGTAATGACGAGAGTGGGATATGTGCGTTCGTCTGCTAATTGCAATCAGCATTCTAAACACTTCTGTCAGGCTCCTCATCTTGATCAAATGAAGTCTCTCCAGTGGCGGTTGAAAAATTGTGCGCTCTGTGTGTGTGTCGGTTTGACAAAAATCACAGTTCGGGGTCACACCTTGGTTTGACTGGCATGGATCGGATCACTTTCAAAACAGTAAGGCAAGATATGCCGCCGTCCTATAGTGAGCAAAGGGACATTTATTTTACAGTGCACATAGAATATAAGCTTGATGCCAAATGCACTCGATGACATTTGCGCATGTTGATGCTGGAGGCGTTATTG